TTTTAGTTCTAACTTGGGAGGGAAAAATTGGAGGGTTTTGAGCAGAGTAGCAGCATAATCTGACTTAGATTTTACTGGCCTCTGTGTTGTTGGCAAGTGTGGAAGTAAAAATCTAGAGGCAGTAACTGTAATAAGCCAAACAAAAGATGATAATGGCTTGGACCAGGAAATACTGTGGAGCTGGTAAGAAGTCATCAAGTTATGCATTTTTTGCATTGTGAGCAGTTCACGTTCCAGCACCAAACTTGTTCTACTGAATGAAATGTTCAGGAATTAAAAAGCACTGCATCTAGTAAGAGCAATATCTGTTGTTGCTTAAGTTTGTTTTTTTTAGGGGTATATTTTACCGATTAATTTGACAACTTTACATCTTACTGTATACACTAAGAAAGTAGTCTATTATGCTTCTGGGTGTTCCCACTAATTTATGTTTACTTATTTAATGATAATCTTTGTAATTTTAGGTTTGACTGTCAGTGCTAAAAAACAAAAGCATAGAATAATTAGGAATGCATGTCATTGAAAACTTTAGACTCACATACCATTCTAAAGTGAATAGAAGGTATTCTCACCAGTACTGGGTTTGGAAAGTAGTTAGTGACTCTCAATTTCTAGATGAGCTTTGTGGTGCTGAAATGTATCTGATACAAGAGGAAAAAATTATTTTAAAACAAGAACCTAATGGGGTAAAGATTAGCCATAAAAGAAGCCAAATTTAATAAAAGTAGCTCAAGATTAAGGTTGAAAAGGAAAACTTGAGTCAAGAATTTCCTAAGGTTCCCATTGTGACCCTTTATGGACTCATTCATTATTCAGTTAGCATAAGTCACTTAAATTTTTTGTGACTAAGAACCTTAGCTTATGAAATGGGCTAATTCCATGTTCTTATTTAATAGTTCTACTAGTATTTAAGAGGGGAAAAAAACCACCCTTTTATTACAAATACATAGATTGTCATCTTTAAGCTGCTATCTCTAAAGAAATGTATTTTTTTTCTACCTTAAAGTGGTTGATTTTTAGAACAGGTTCAATAAATTTGAAGTAGTTTTATCACTGTCACCCATGGAAGACTGTTTGCTCTATATGGTAGCTCAGTGCTCTACAGATTCTAAAGGAAGCAGGGCTCCTTTTGCGCTGTTTCCCCATGCCCAAGACCTCACCTTTTTACACCTCCCTGTCCCCAGGAAGCCAAGCGAGCAGAGGCCGGGCTGGCACCGGATGGCTCAAAAGTTGCCCATTCCTGTGCTAGAGTAGTGAGAAATTCAATCTGAAGAAATGAAACATCATCACTTTATTCATATGGGAAATAACTGGGGCTTGGACGTGTTCAGGGCCTGGCAATTAACAGGTTTGGGTAGCTTTGTGTGCGGGCCAGTGTGCTAGCAACACGGCAACAAAACGGAGGTGTGAGAACTTCGGTCTTATCCAACGTGGCGAAAATGGGGCAGTCACAGAAAGCAAAGCTTTCTTCACAAGCAGGGAACAGCAGTGAGCTTAGAGCCTATTTATATGTGTTTAAGATGGTCAGATGTTTCAAGTTTAAGAACGGCTTCTCATGTTAAATAAGTTCGTTCCCCATGCACCTTCTCCTTGAGGCATGGGCCAGATGGGTTATGTCCCATTTTACAATGACTGATGCAGAATTACTACACGCTTTCATTGCTAAAACTGTCTCAGTGACTCGGGACTTTAGGGCTTATGCATAGATAATGTGATAAAATAAAGGCATATGGTAGATGAAAGGGTTGGACTCTCTTTGAGGTCTCATTTTCAGATTTTTCAATTGGTAGCTTTCCCACTGTTTGAAATCCTGAACCCAATACACATTTTAAAAGCCTCTATCTTTATAGTTTCCATTTAAAAAGGCAAAATGAAAGTGATTCAGAGCCTTCCCTTTTTCATTTACTTGATTAAGCAGTAATTTTTTTACTTCTGTTTTTAAGGCAGTTTTCTGGTAGTGGCTAGAAAGGAATATATAGTTTGTCCTCATAATTTTAAGAGTTTGTAATTGACTTAATAAGGAAAAGGCATTATAGGACCTACTGGTTAATAACAAATAAATTATACAGGCAGGGGTGTTAATAGACATTAAGGGGAGCAAGAGAGCACTTCTAGCTGGAGTGTTCAGGGAATACTGGGGACAAAAATGGAACATCCGTGGCCTCACAGAATGGAAAAACTGAGTATCAGAGGAGAAAGGGCCCTTTCATTGGCTGAGGATCATAGAGGCAGGAGATGACATGGCAAGTTCAAGGGACAGTGACTAGACTATAGCACAGTGGTTAAGAGCACAAACCGCCTGGGTTCAGGACTGCCTTTTATTCTGTGTTTGAACTCAGAGTAAAAGAGTGGTGCTGATTGTGCCCAAGTCATAGGGCTGCTGTCAGGATTTGAGAATAGTGCCAGCACAAGTTAAATATTAAATAAATAAAATCAAGTATGATGATGATGGCAAAGATGCAGGTGATCATAAAAGACCAGGTTGTTAGAAAGATTGGAGTGAGCTCGCTAAGGGGCTGGACTGTTAGGACAGCAAATAGTTCATAGCAGGGAATTACCGAAAGCTTTCTAAAAAAGAATATATGGTCAGACTAGTGTATTTGGGAAAAGAACTTAGCAGAAGTGGTTGAAGAAGAGAGTGCAGCAGAGAGACTGCTTAGGAGACTTGTAATGGTCTGGGCTGCCGGGATTCAAACCAGGACTCAAGGGATAGAGGATGGGTTCGGATTAGCAAGAAGGGACAGACCTTGCAGACAGTTGTAATGAAACCCTTGTTAGCATCTGGGGACCATGTCAGGGAGGCAGACGGCCATGTCTGAGTAAGTGGGAAAATTCAACCATGGGAGTTCTTGGGAAGAGCTGGCAATGTGTGCAAGAAGGTGAAATACAGTGTATGTCCTGAACGTACAGGCAAGATCGGGCATTGAGGTGCTTATCTGGTGCTCCAAGAGAAATCAGACCTGATACAGAAATGGAGGGCCCCCAGTTGCGCTGTGTGAGTAAATGAGGTGACAAGGAAGAGAGTGTTCACAGTGAATGTTATAGCAATTTTCTTTCCCATTTCTAGAAGAGAAAGTGTGAGTTGAAGAGAATGAACACATATTCCTAGTCCAGTGGACTCATTTAAAACATGGGCAAGAGTCGAGTTCCCTGGCCTGTAAAGTGCCATTTCACAGCTCGAGTGCCAGGCGGAGCTCCGCAGGAGACGTGCGAAGTGTTTCTAAATGCATGGTTTCCGGCTCTGTACTTGCATGTCATTGCTGACAGGCTCTGTTCTGGGAGGGAGAATTGTCCTTTCCATTATCCTAATTAGTCTCATCCAGTTTTGACCACACCTTTAATATAGATCCTGTCAATAGACACACATACACTACTTTGTTAATTTGTATTGTACTTGCTTCTTTTTTTCTTATTTTTTGTTAATCCTCACCTGAGGATATTTTTTCCATTGATTTTTAGAGAGAGTGGAAGGGAGGGGGAGAGACAAAGAGAGAAACATTGATGTGAGAGAGACACATAGCTTGGTTGACTTCTGTACATGCCCTGACTGGGGCCGGGACTGAGCCTGCAGCTGAGGTACGTGCTCTTGACCAGAATTGAATCCCGGACCCTTCAGTCCTCGGCTGACACTCCAACCACTGAGGCAAACCAGCTAGGCTCTGCATGCTTTTCTTAAAAGTTGTTCCTTTTAAACCTTTTTAATATATGCTTTTTTCTCTTCCATTACATTTTAATTGCCTGTGGGTAAGGAGCTATAGCCTTCTGTTGGTTTCAGTCTTTACAGTTTTGCATTCATTCACTTATGTATTGGTTCCAGTTTATTCATTCATTTGTTTATTTATTCCAGGCACTGTATTAGATGTGAGGGTAATGAATAAGACACTCACTGCCCTCAGGGAGCTTACTAGCTGGTTGGGGAACAAAAGACACAGATATGTGTAGAAGAAGCAATAATAAAATCATTCACAGAAAACTATGCGAACATGGAAGAGAAACATGGAAGGGGCAGCAGGGAGAGGTAATTCAAGGAGAATTTTTGGAGCAATTGGCTTTTGGGCTGAATCTTAATAAGTAGTTGTTACTAGGTAAAGAGGAAGAAGCATAGAGAAATGACAGTGAAGACCTGTTCACAAGAAAAAGTGAGGCAGTTAGGTGTTGCTGTAGCACAAAGTGAAAGGCAGTAGTGAAAGATGACGTGGCGGACCCGGCAGAGACCGCTGGTGAACCTGCATGCGGTGAATAGAAGTTTATACTACATTCCGTGCTCAAAGAACAGGGAAATCCTACAAGCGGGTCTGTGATCAGGCCAGGCTGCAGTCTTCGGTGGCAGTTGGGAGGATGCATTTGTGGAGGACGACAATTTGGTATAGCTAGTCCTGGTGGCAGACATTGAGGACCTAAACCAGGACAGTGTTGTAGGAATGGAGATGAGAGGGCAAAACTAAGAATTATTGTGAAATAAAATTAACGGAACCCATTACAACCACAGATGAGGGAGAAGAAGGTCCTAAGATGATTTTTCATAGCTACCTTATATGACTGGGTGACTGACTGCATAGTCTCCTTAGAAGAATATAGGAGGAGAATATAGATAACAATATAGAATTGTTATTTTCAACCCACTGAGAGTTTTAATGTACCTGTGATATAGTTCAAGTGAAATCTAATTAACACTTAGCAGAGATGTCTATATGACTAGAAATACCTCGTTGTCAATACCTTAACTATCTCCCCCTGGATACAGAAGTATTTATGTTTCCTGCAACATGCTATGCATGCATCTGTCATAACTCTTTGTGTTGTGATCCTTGATTTTCATTTCTATTAATCTCTGTAATCACAGTCCAGTGTTTGGTACATAACCTCTCCTTAAATGTGAGTGAGTGTGTGAGTGAATAAGACAGTGAGTAGATTATTTTTAGAAGTACTATTATTATTTATTAGAGAAAGTTTATATTTGGCTTATTCTCATTCTGATTTTTCTTTGTTTTAATCCCTAGCACCTTCCACTGGAAGAATCTCAAATAGTTCCACTTCCTCAGGAGCAGTGGCCTCAGCCAACTCCGCTGGGGGGCAGCCCCAGCCAAGCGACCAGGACACCTTCGTGCAAAGAGCAGAGCACATCCCAGCAGGGAAACGGACTCCCATGTGCGCTCACTGCAACCAGGTCATCAGGTTGGTTGTTTTTGGAATTTCTCGGGTGTACTTAATAAGAATGTTGATTTTTATTTATATTTTATTTTCTGAAAGGTTCACAATATTATCCTTGCCACATTTCTATGTAAATGTTATTGAAGTAGATAAATATGAATATATTTTTTAGAATTTATTATAGTGAAAAGTCATTCTGGGCCCTTGAAATTAAAACTAAAAATACCTTTTTTTTCAGTTATTTATTCCTAAGGAAAAGTAATGACTTATGTGGCCTTTCAAAGAATAATAAAATGTTAAGACTCAAAGGGACCCTGAAGATCATTTAGCTGAACTTCATTATTTTGCAAATTATAAAAGTGAGGACTTCCATTTAGATGAAAAATAACTGGTGACATAAAATAAAGAACTTTGAGTCCTATAGGAAAAAAGATTGGGTTTTTGAAGACCTAAGCACTGAAAGATATAATTACCTCCAGGTCTATATATGCATAAATGCTTTAAATTTTAGATTACATCACAGCTTGCTTCTTTATAATATTTTTATCCAAATCTTACTTTATTGTCTTTTAAATTCCACATAGGAAAAGGCCCAGAAATCTTAAGTGAGTGCACTGCACTGGCACTTATTAACCCTCAGAGCATTTCTTAATAAGTGGCTTTTAAAATGTGCCGAGGTTTAGGTGTGAGTGTTGACTGCAGGGATCCCACCAGCAGGACCTGTTGCCTTCGTGAGCTGCCTTGTTGGCAGTAGCAAATGATCAGTTGAAATGACTGCTCATGCTCTCCCCTTGTTTTTAATTTATCCTGTTTTGACATAGTGCAAACAATGGTTTCTCTAAGGTTGAGACTTAACTTGTATTTTCCCTCCTTCTATTACATAATTATTGCTTAGGATAATGTGTCTCGTTACAGTGGAGCCCAAGAAGCCTCAATACTTTATTTAAGAACCAAATATAAATACGCTTCTCCTGAACCCACTATTTAATAATAAGTGATTAAAAATAAAATAGCTTTTATATTTTAAAGGTAGTCCATGTTCATTGTGACATATCAAAAAGGTAGAAAAACTGAAAGCAAAAATTCACCCATAATTCCACTTCCTAAGCTAGCCACTGTTAGTATTTTAATTCACACTTTTAAAACAAACACAGGACCGATGTTGTTTACAGAAATGGAATCATAATACGATATTTTGTAAGCTGTTTGTATTTTCCATGGAGAGTAGTGCCTGCTACTAGGAATTAGCCAGGAGCAGTGGCAGTGGTTATGGGAAGAGGAGAAATCAGAGATCAGAGGTTCCCAGAGTCCTGCGCAGTATCAGGCACCCGGTGAATGTTTGACTGGAATAGGGCACGCAGACCCACTCATAGTTCAGGCTGCAGTATTAATTTGGATAGAGTCATTTTTCTGAAAGTACTACTTATAGGGTTATTGCCTTGCAGAAATATTTAAACTATTACAAAATCTAGTTTGGTACTGCTTTACTCCAGTAAATGAAACACTGTTTTTAGTTATATTAGGTTTAATATGAATGAAATGAAAATTCCAACTTGGCACATTGCTTTGTTAAGTATGGTGCTTCGGTTATGGAAACTGGTATTTAGGGATACTACATGGTGAGCAGACACACACCCTCTGTGGAGACAGGAGTCGGTGCTATTTGTGTGTTGCTGTAAGCATGTCATTGGATGGGTTAACGAAAAGTCAAACTAGATCAGTTGCTGATTCATGCTGTCTGATTATCAGATTCTGTGGCAGCCTGTAATAACCATCAGCACATCTGAAAAACTTAGTTCAGAGAGAAATTACATTCCCCACCCTTCCTACCTTGGTTTCAGTTTTAATGCTAGATCAGGATGTGATTTTAATGCACAACCTTATTGTCATGTGAAATAGATATATATTATGTTAATAACATGAATGGCCATTGCTTATTGCTCCCCCATCTGTTAAATTTTATATGGCTCTGAATTATCCCAGCACTTGTTATTAGTCCAACTTTAAAGCTTCATTTATAGGGAAGTTAATAGGACCCGGGATTACTTCATGTCAAGATCTTCTAACAGTAATTAACATAGCACATTTGCTTGGTGCTCAAATGCTGAAGCAGCTTGAATGGTCTGTGTCAGTTCATAGGCCCAGTCAAAGCATAATTCTAGTTCTTGGCCTCAATGCCAGTATCACTTACCAAAGCAAGGAGGCATTGGATCAAGTGACATTCTCTTGTACACCTGTTGTAAAAATAAGCTGCAGTTACGGGCCTGATACTTTCCATACAGGATATTGCAACCTGGCAAACTCTAAGAAGTTTAAGATTTCAGAATTTATATTGTTTGTTTACAATATGTAATTTTGTTTACCACAGTGTAATTTATTTTGTTTTAAATTTATATTGTTTATTTTATATTTCTTTTCTAAATATTTGACATTTTGAAAAACTTTTTTTAATGAAGCCAGATTGAGGCAAATTTTGTGTTTTATTTTTTTATTTATATATTGATTTCAGAGAGGAAGGGAGAAAGAGAGAGAGGTAGAAACATCAGTGATGAGAGAGAATCATTGATTGGCTGCCTCTTGCACGCCCCCTACTGGGGATCGAGCCCGCAACCTGGGCATGTGCCCCTGACTGGAATCAAACCCAGGACCCTTCAGTCTGCAGGCTGGTGCTCTATCCACTGACCCAAACCAGCTAGGGCTGTTTTGTTTTATTTTTAACAAAGTTAATTGTTTTTTAAAACCTCAGAAACCTGAATCACTAAATGTTAGTGCTGAATTGGTTATCTTTTTGTTAATCTTTTTCCATTGAGTTTTAGATAGAGGGGAATGGGGGATGGGGGAGAGAGAGAGAGAGAGAGAGAGAGAGAGAGAGAGAGAGAGAGAAGCAGAAGAAGAGGAGGAGGAGGAGGAGGAGGAGGAGGAGGAGGAGGAAGAAATCGAGGAGGAGGAAGGGGGAGGGGGAGGGGAGGAGGAGGAGGAGGAAAGAGAAGGAGAAGGAGGAAAGAGGAGAAGGAGAAGAAGAAAGAGGGGAAGGGAGGAGAGGAGAGGAGGAGAGGAAAAAAGAAAGAGAAGGGAGGGAGGGAGGGAGGGAGGGAGGGAGGGAGGGGAGAAAAGAAAGAAAAAAAGAAAGAGAAACACTTTGATGTGAGAGAGGCACATTGATTGATTGCCTTCCACACTTGCCCTGACCAGGCCAAGATTGAACCTGTGTATGTTCTAACCACTGAGAACACTGGCCAGGGCTGAACTGTTATCTCTTATAGTCCATATTTAGCTTAAAATTCCATAAATAATTTTATTTGTATCTAATATTTAAAATTTTGTTTTATTTGAATCTTGAAAAGATTATGAATCTTTTGCCTAAATTGTATTATTTCAGCATTACTTTAATTAGTTGCTTTTTACAGATGGATAGGGTGTTACATTTTAGGAAATTCTATTGAAACTTTGAGTTTGCTATGGAACAGTTCTAATCCATTTGTGATAGGAGTACCATTTCTTCCACTCTTACCTCATGCATAGATTGACTGTTGGAGTGCTGGTGTAATAGAGAAACAGAAAAGCAGACTAATGTAGCCAAAACCACATTTTAGTTTCCCTGGTCGAAAGGGCTTATGAAAACTCTAGCTTATTCCTTGCCTGTCACATCTGGTGGCATTAAAATCTGTTGACCACTTTCATGCATTACACAGAGTTAAATGGGCCGTTCATAGTTAGCCTCTTAGCATCTTTCTGAAAGAAATAAGGGATTTATGGTGCTTGAATTTTTTCTTAGATATGGAATGCTTAAAAAAAATTGCCCCAATATTATCGTTCTGTGTTTACCTGCACCAGAACAATCACATTCAGTCAACCCATTGTTGATTGCAGTGAGAAAGAGAATTTTAAATTAGTGAATTGTTTCTCGCTCAGTAATCTTCATAAGGAGAGCCATCCCAGTTATCCAAGGAGAGGCCACCAGAGTGTTTTGGCTGCCTCACCATCCATTCCAATCTCTGGGCACTCCTTTATAGTAGGCTTTGTTTATTTTCTCTTCCGGTTACGATTTTACTTGAAGATAAAAGGTTTTTAGCCTAATGTGTTCGTCCCTGAATTTAAGGAAACAACCAAAGACACAGACCAAGATTTATGAGCAAAACATAGACCAAAATTTCAGAGTTACTATAGTGAAAAATTGCTGTTTCCTTTGCCTAAATTCTCATCCCGGAGATATTTGCATAGCTCACTTTCTCCTTCAGGTCTTTACTCAATTATCAGGGTATTCCTGGCCTACCCCTCCCCTCACACACACATACACAGTCTCCCTATCTTCCCTCCCTCTTCATTTGTATCTTCAGCATTTAAAATCTAACATACTGTATATTTTATTTATCCTTTTTGTTGTCTCTCTCCCTCGTACTAGAATGTAAGTCCATGCACGTAGGGCTTTTTCTGGCTTTGTTTCTTGCAATAGTCTCTGCTCCCAGAACAGGGCCTGGCACATATCACTGCATTTAGTAAATACTTGTTCAAATACTTGTTCAGTTGATGAATGAACTTTTTAAAAATATTTGGAGGAATGAATGATATTAGTGTTGCCAAATTGAAATTATATTCCACTTGTCTTATATAGAATCACACATTTCTCCTGCTTTTCTGATTTTATAATAACCTCAATATAAAGAATTGACTATAATTGCCTCCAATAAACTTGTTTTTAACTTATTAATTAATGTTACCATTTTTTAGAAATTCTTCTTTCTATTCATTATTATATTTGGGCTCATTTTACCTATGCATTTATTCTCAACAAGCATGTCTTTCAAAATAAAAAGGCCTTACAACCTTTTAAATGCAGTATTTTAAAGGACTATTAAGTTAAAGATGATACTCGATGAAAGAAGAACTATATATTTTTTTGTGTTCCAAATTGGAAAGTTTGAGCATAACCCACTGAGAATGAAGAAGGGGGTAAAATACAGTGTTTCTAAATTTTTGGAAGGATTGTTAGAATTTCTACTTTGAAGTATTATAAATCTTGAAAGATAATCTCTGTGTTTCATTTTCTTTTACTCTTTTCTCTTCCTGCATGTGCGTTTGTGTGTATTTATGACTTTGTATGTGTGTGCTATGCATTTTCTCCCAATAATCTTTTTTATTTCATTCTGTTTTTCTAGATTTGTTTTTTCTTAGATTGTTTGCTCATGATAGGCCCTCCCTAAAAGTTGAACATAATAAATACTGGCTTATACATTTTTATTATTTATTGTATCTAGTTAAATAGAACATCAGATTCCATATTTAGTGTGGAGCATGTGAGTTCTTTTTTATGTGCTTTGTTTTAAACTTTTGTTGGTTAGCTTTTCATTTTTTTAAAACTTTTTTTGTTTTTAACATTTATTGATGCAGAACGTTTTAGTCAAATAAAATGTTTAATCTATGGTGGCTGGGCCTTGGAGGGACCAGCTTTAGGGTATCATCCAATAGGATCTTAGGAAAGTTAACTAACTTCTAAGATGTTAGCTTCATCTCTTCACAGAGTTAATGTCTATCACTGGGAGTTATTGTGAAAGTTAAATAACAAAGGGAAGCATGAAGTAAGCATTTGATTTCACAGTTAAATCCCTGTTAGATTGTGCCTATTTGGTGTGTCTCAGTTGGTTGGGTGTCATCCTGTGCAACGAAAGGTTGCCGGTTTGATTCCTGGTCAAGGTGGCTGATCTATGTTTATCTCTCTCTCTAAAAATTAATTTTAAAAAATGTTTTTAAAAAATGAATTTGCAATTCTTTTCACCTATTTGTAATCTTTTCTTTTCCTCTGATCTCTTCTCTTAGCTTTCTTCCCTAGCTCTTTATTTTTTTCTTTTTGGTGTCTCACAGCAGAAGAGAAACAGGGAAAATAGTTTCATGCCATAGTTCTTCTCTCTCAGCCAATCAGTGCTTTAACTCGTTCCCCTCTCTTCCTTCGTCTGTCAACAAGTATTTAGTAAGGGCTCAAGAGGTGTGGAGTATCATAAGAGGTAGCTGAATGCTTAATTCCACTTTGCGGTTATCCAAGCCTGTCATTCCAGTTTACAGATGGAAACCCAGTTCTACCTGGAACTAGAAGAACTGCTTCAGTGCTAATCCTGTGTTAATAATGAATTTGTTAAATTAGTCTCTGCTGACACAGAGAAGAGAGCACTATGTTATAAGCAGAAGATGTTATTGTTTAATCTCTACATAACTTTAAGGGCATTGATGGAAGATACTCTCAGTGCAGCCAAGGAGTATCAGGTTAGGTCAGTATCTGCACAGAGCGTGTTTGTTTAAGAAAGGAGATTTGGCAGGAGCAAGGGTCATTTTCAACTCACTTTTTAAAGGTGCAGAGGGAGTTTCTTTATTGTTAAGATCATTCACTATTCAAATATGATAAGGAAACTAAGGAAATACCTTAAAATTACCCTTTCAATGGACAATATTATTTATCTACTAGAGGCCTGGTGCAAGAAATTCGTGCACTTGTGGGGAGGGGGGTTTCCCTCAGCCCGGCCTGCACCATCTCACAGTCCGGGATCCCGCTCCTGTGGGGAGCGGGCCTAAGCCGTCAGTCGGACATCCTTAGCGCTGTGCGGAGGCCGGAGAGACTCCTGCTGCTGCTGTGCTTGCTAGCTGTGAGCCCGGCTTCTGGCTAAGCGGCGCTCCCCCTGTGGGAGCACACTGACCACCAGGGGGCAGCTCCTGCATTGAGCATCTGCCCCCTGGTGGTCAGTGAGCATCATAGCGACCAGTCATTCTGCTGTTTGGTCAGTTTGCATATTAGCCTTTTATTATATAGGATTTTTTGTAGTGGACTCTAGTCCAGAAAGCTTTTAAAAAAATGCATGTAATAAAGAAAACCTTCTAAATTGCAAAAGGGATCAAGAGAAGAATAAAAATCTTGAATGGGACTATTAAAAATGAACACTGGGCAGAAATTTGACATTGAGATTGGATAAGACCTATAACAGTGACACACAGACTTGTTATGGTTAGACTAAATTTGGCTTCAAGCCTTCTAGCAGTCAACAAAAAAGGAGTTAATTTTCCAAATTACTATACTAGCACAGTGAGATAAATACTTCTTTTACTCAGAAGAAGCAAAACTGTTCTTATTGCAAAAATCTGAAAAGAATTTCTCCAAGGAAGCCTGTGAAGATGGCCTGTGTGGCCTAACGAAGAACACTTTGAACAGTAGGAAGAGCAGAGGTGGATTCCATGGAGCTGTATTCTGTAGCAGGTGTCAGTACAGACGGATGGTATCACACTGAACACTGGCCATTAAAGGAATAATTCTAGAATGGTCTCTCTGATTTGCAGGACCCGTTTCTCTGATGGATTTGAGTTATCTCAACACATATTTTAGAAATTGGATTTTATTGTTCTTAATTCTTTATATATATATATATATTTTTTTTTTAATTTTTTTTCTAAGATGAACGTTGTTAACTGTTTGGTAACACTGATAGATGTGTTCCAGAAGTAGAACCCTTTATGCCAAGTGCATACCAACCCTTTGCTTTAACAGAACTCAGAGTCTGAGGTTGGTTGACTTCTTTTACAAACTGAGGAGCCTAAGGATACTGGCCTCATGGGGCCATCCAGGCTTGTGGATGAGCTGAAGATGTATTCTTATATATATATATATAAAAAATTCACCCTGGTAAATTGTTTTGAACTACTTTAATTAATGTCCAAACCAATGGCAGCATAAAACCCTGAAGTTCACCATATCTGATGTTACAGTCACAGTAAATTAAGCCTGGCAGATTTTTCAGGCATATATAACCAGATACCCACCTGGTGGAAAAGCTTAGGCTTCTTATAAAACTCTGTCTAACTTTGAGCACTATGACTTCTTGATTTATCTTTGAAGGAAAACTACTTGCCAAATATATACTGAAAAAATGAAAGAAGGAAGTTGTTGAGCAGGACTGTGACTTATACACCAGTTCAAAATTGAGAGGCAACCTACCAAAAGTAACATAGTTGGTTACATAGTAGGTGATCTGGGGCCCTTCCGCCCCCCCCCCTCTTCCCTGTCCTCCCCCCCCCCCCCCGCCAGGAATTAGTTAACAAAGGCATTCCTTGTTAGTGCTAACAAAACAATAGTACCCTAAAGTTTTTTTAAAAAATAATAAACGACTAGTCTCAAGTGCTAAGAGAGCTGCATGCACTAGCTTATACAAAATTGCACATTAATAAGAAAAAGGTGAGGGGATTAAGAAGTACAAATTGGTAGTTACAATATAGTCACAGGGATGTAAAGTACAGCCTAGGGAATATAGTCAATAATAATATTTTAATAATTATGCATGGTGCCAGGTGCATACTGGAAATATTCAGAGGGGGGACGCTTTGTAAAGTATATGATTGTCCTAATCACTATGTTCTGCACCTGAAACTAATACAAAAAGATATTGAATGTAAACTGTAATTGAAAAATAAAAATTTAAGTTCCTTTTTAAAAAAGATACAAGGCAACAAAAAGTGGGGCGAGAAAACAACCTCTTATATCCCACAGAACACATTTTAATCATTGTCAAGAGCCCTTCTACTTTCTTGACTCTTGCAGAATTAAGTGCTGGTTCTTAGTAAACCTCTGTGTATTTGCAAAGAATTCCTAATGGGAGATAGTTACTGTATATCAAGGTTTATATTTCTGCCTAAATAACATAAGGCTAAAACTAAAAACAAAAACAACAACAACAATGTGACTTTATGATGCTTATTACTGTGACTTTCCTATTAATCTGCCTAGAAGTCAGATATTTGATCATAATAACAACTACCCTATGGTGGCTCAGTGACGGTAACCGGCGGTGAGGATATCAGAGGCAGAGTCTCAGTTGACTAGAGCAGTATACTAGGAATCAGGAAATTCAGCTTCTGGCCTTCACTCAATCAGCGATTTTATGGAATTTGTCATATATTTTGAACATTCTGTGTCTCAGCTTTTCCGTCTGTTAAACTGAGTTCGTAATAACTGCCCTGGACTATCTCACAGGAATGCTGTGCGGACAAATTAGATAAATGTAAAAGTGCCTTGAAGGTAAAGCTGCTCTGTGAATAAAAATTAATGTGATGTAGCTCCTGAAAAGAATGTTGCAGAGGCTTGAATGGTTCATCTCTGCAGGCTTTGTGACTAGATAAGGCTTCATAACGGATTCCTGTCAAGCAAACGAAATCCATCTTATCAGTTCATGACTGTATGGCATTTTGTAGGGGAAAAATCTCTTTACAAACGTTTGTTACCTTGATATACATGTGCATTGAAAATAAGTCATGTTTCAGTTAAATAAAACCTTTTCAGGTAGCTTCAAACAATCTCCGATACAAGTTTACAATTTCTGCAGTCATTTTGGAGGGTGAGGATTTGATGGGTTTAATAAAGTTGAGAAATAATATGAAACTATGTGTGGGGAAGAGAAATTGACTGGGATGTCTTATCAGGTAGTATTATTTTTAAGACCCTAACATTACCAAATTGAGAATTTTATTTTGTTTATTTTATAAAAATGCCAAACTCTCATCTCTGCCTAAACCACATTTTTTTCTAGTTATTTTATTTTCTATCTCAGTTAACATCCTCCTTCTTAATCATAATCACGACACAGACAGACTCACTCATTATAACTCAAACAACCTAACTACCAAATCTCTTGAAGATAGAATAAAGGGGCGGGAGTGTGGCCTTTCAGTGTTCTTACTCCTCCCCTCTTTTCACATAAATGCACAGAGTTCCTATGTAACTTTACAGCACCCATGCATTGGGTCCTTGAGAAGGAGAAGTGAGCAAGTATTTCATTGTTTAGACATTTGTATAGAAGAGGTCCAATCCAGGCAAACTTGAGAAACTTTGATTTCCTAAGCCAACTTGATCTCTGTACTTCTGGCAGGGGACCATTCCTAGTGGCCCTGGGGAAATCTTGGCACCCAGAAGAATTTAACTGTGCTCACTGCAAAAATACAATGGCCTACATCGGATTTGTGGAGGAAAAGGGAGCCCTGTATTGTGAGCTGTGCTATGAGAAATTCTTTGCTCCGGAATGTGGTCGATGCCAAAGGAAGATCCTTGGAGTAAGTATTGGAAATCTTTTCATTCTGAGTGAATTTTAAAACAATTTTTGTTATGAACCCTTTCTATCATTTTGACATTTTTTTTCTTCTTGCTGGATACCCTCTCTATTTTCATCACTATTTATTATTGTAAAGCAACACTAAACAGACCTCTGTAGATAGGACTTATGGGGGGTAAGTTGTCTTTGGTTTTGTCTTACTGAGTGCTGGCTTGTCTGGTGAAAGGCTAGCCATTGTGAGGAAAAGTCATTTACTGTGGGTGTGCTACCTCAACAGGACCCTGTTTGCTCAGGAATGAAGAGGTCGTACAGGACCACACACGTATCAGAGTTCTCAGAACTGACACCTTCACTGTTTTAAATTAAATTCCATGGCTTTTATAAGAGCAGCATTTCCCTATTTGTCAGGTTCAAGCACAGGGCACAGATTTCATGAAGTATATAAAACAGGCTTATAAATGATATATTTTTCTTGAATGCATATAATGTTTAAAAATATAACCTCAGTTTTATGAGAGTATAGAAAAATAATAAAACCACACCTTTTTAATTTTTGGGGGGGAAAAAAGGAGTAATTTAGGTGTCAGGTACATAATGAATAATAATGAATGAATGAATTTCCTACCCTGGAATACCCAGTTTCCAATTACAAAGTAAGAGTCAGGCATTTCCTTTGGGCGACCAGGAGTTGGAATTTTACTTTAGAAGCAGCCAAGTTGCCTGGTCTCATACAAAATTCATACCAGCAACACAAAATTTGTAAATGGAATTGCTGAATTTTGCTATTCTCAATATGAAAATATAATAATGAAACTCTAAATTCATATCAAGAGAAAAGCGAGCATGAATTATAGAGTAGTATTAGTGTTAGAATATATCTTTAAGTATGCATAAAACTTTGAGGACACTTAGAAATCATGAAATATTTCTATATTATTAGTTTATACAATATACAATATTTTTGGAACAAAAGGATAGAATGATTCAGTCTATACCTTCCCAAATGAAAATTAATTAGTAGAATACATTAATACTGTTTTAATACTGTATATAAATCTATTCTAAGGATTCTAGAATAATTAATAAAGCAAAGTCAAGTAACGGTCTTAGAACCAAATGATGTTTTAGGAAATGGAAGCTTTACACTCATTTCTTCAGAGGTGGGCCAGCCCTTCACTAAAGGACAGAGCCTCTGGATTTCGTTTTACTTGTTGGAATGTCACCGAAACCAAAATTCAACTGCCTACCACTCGAAAGCCAATCTCGCAAGCTGGTAAAAAGGAAAGAAGTTTATTAAAGTGCCAATCACCTGAGAAGACAGGGGACTCTTGTTGCAAATCCCATGGACTCTTGTTGCAAATCCCATTTCCCCACCTCAGTGAAAGCAGAGGTTTTTATGAGGAGGGAGAGGGCAAGCAGAACAAAGAAATCAAGGGGATTGGGTTGAAAAGTTCTCTACGTGCAGACCAGCACAGTCCATTCCAATGAGGATCTTGAACTGGTCGAGTGATGGTCTGGTGTCATCCAGTTCTGCGTTATCCTGGTTGTGTGGTTGAAGGTCATCAAATCTCCCGGAACTGGGATGACCAAGTCTGTATCTTCTGAAGTTAGTTCCTAGGATTCTTATACAAACATGTTTTTTATCTATAAGCTACATATTAATCAGAGTCAGCATTGACAGAAACAATGTCAAAAGAATGGTGGGGCGGGTTACAATCTCCACTGTTACATGAATACCTACTAAAAAAGGAGTAGTAACCTGTCTCAAGTATACTAGTATAAAGGGAAGGATATACTTGAAGCCTTGGGAAATGATTTGGTTGATTGCACATTTGTTGTACATGTTCATGGCAATCTTTTGGGATCTAAATAACTGTCATTTCTTTCCATTGTCCTTCAATAGTGAACTATGGCATTTTCTATGGCTAATGTATTCTATGTCATTTTCTTTTATTTGCATAATATTTTTATTAAAAGAGAAAGTATTTCACTCTATAACAATTAGAAAATACAAACAAATGTAAAGATTGAAATTAAAATGGCATATATTTACCAATCACAGAATTCCTGTTAACCTTAGGATGGATTTTCTTCCAGTTTACTCCTTATAAATACGTCACTTACAAAATAATAACCATACTTTATGTATAGCATCCTCTTTTTGTGATAAATATTATGGAAAGAGTAAATTCCCATGTTATTAACTATTCTTCAAAAATGATTTTTTAATGGCTCCATCTCTCTCTCAATCCAAAAACATGATTCCTTGCAAAACCAACTTCCCGAGACTTTTACTAATTAAAATTTTTGATACTTGGTATATTTAATCATAGGGCCATTGTTGGCTAGAATCCATGCTTTATGGTTCAAGTTTTAGATACTCTTTTGAGTATGCTTAGTATAGTCACAGCTGATTCTCGAAATACTAAACAGGTGTTAAACTGATTGGATTACACTGATTAGGTTATTGTTTTCATAATGCACCAAAGTATAGGTTTGTTTTAGTTTTTAAACGTTTGCCCTTCATCCATGAGATTTTCAAGATAATCTTACGAAACCTTTATAAGTTAATGTTTCCTGACACCCTTTGAGAGAAAGCAGAATGTATTATAGCAAGCGTTTATGAAATGCTTACTTTATTTACCACTTGTATAATGTTTAACACACTAATCATTCTTTAAATAAGTTTATTGGTAATATTTGTGAAAAATGCATAAAAAGTGCATCAGTTGAGATGATTTTCAAGTCTGTCCTTACGTATCTCCTGTTAGGAGGAAAGCTCAAGACAGAGACGACACATATATGTCTACTTCGGGTCAGTTTAGAGTGGCTATTGGTTTAGCTAGTAGAATAAGTATTTGTATATTGTCATCTTTTTTTCACATGGTTATTTTTCTGTAACAGGAAGTCATCAATGCTTTGAAACAAACTTGGCACGTCTCCTGCTTTGTGTGTGTGGCCTGCGGAAAGCCCATTCGTAATAATGTTTTCCACCTGGAGGATGGTGAGCCTTATTGTGAGACGGGTAAGCTTCTGAAGCCGTTAGTTCCTTAAGTTTTGAATGAAGGTAAAACATTAACTCTTATATTGCTATAAAGTTGAAAGGAAATATTAGCCAAAATAATTTTCCTAATTATTTTAGGAACATTTAATGTTACCCTAAATATATAGCAAAAATCTATATATAATTTTATCCGACTCTATCAAAACAGATATTCCCAACTTAACTAAGAGATGTGAGCATGTAAGCATTACTTAGGAGAAAACTATTTTGCTTGAATCTTCAATAACTTATGGTTATAAATTCTAACAAATCATGTAGCTTACAGCCACATCTTCAACTTCAGTAAGTAAATTTTGAATGGTTATAAGCATGACAAATGTTCAACTTTTGAATATGATACTGATTTTCTCTTTAAGACAATTACCTTGACAATAAGTTGGAAGTCCTTTGTTACTTTTACTGAATGGGAGGGTAATCCTGGTTCGGATTACTCCCTTGATAAAGTTATTTTTAATAAACTAGGCTCTAAGGACCAATCTACTAACTCTGGACACTTCCTTTTCCTTCCCAAAGGCTGTAAGTGGGCGTTCATAATGTTCATTTATTAGCATTACCCTTACCTAGATATTACTACTACATAGACATTTTTTTCAAAAATAAAATATTTTTCCTTTATCATGCCTTCACTCGCTATACTGCATTCCCACTATGGAGTTTTATTGTTGTTCTACCTTGAATATCAAAGTGTGGTGCTGGAAGAACTTAACTCCACAGAGTCAAGTTAAAGGAGCAGTCAGCTTCTCATTTGAGGCTGGTCAACACCACTCCCTCCATTTTTGCTCATTCAATGTCCTCTTGTTTTCACCTTTCTCTTAGTTTTCTAGTGAGGACCAATCTCGATCTATGTCAGACCAGAAGCCCTGGGAAATTCCAGTGAACTACCTACCCCATGAGCTTTTGGGGGACAGGTTTGGCTATAAGCTGTCTGCCCCTGCTTCAACCAGAATATTTCACATTTTGTAATGCCACTTAATTCTTCTGAAGAAAGATCTGTTTGTTTGTTTGTTTTAAAAGCTTTGCAAGACATTTTGACTGTCAGGTAATTCCTATCTAGTCAAAACATATATAAAACTAGCCTTAATATAATATTTAATGTAGTCTAAGAAGTCATATTTTTAAAACCTTGAAATTGCTTGCAGGAAGGGAAAAACATTATTGAAGTCTTATTTAAATGTCACTTCTAATCATCTTGGTCTATTTTTTTTCTTTTTCTTTAACCTCCCAGACTTAACCCAGTCCACTATTCCAACACCTAGGAGCCATCTGGGATTCTGCTCTTCCCCATCTTCTCCCTATGTCCAATTTAATTAGCAAATTCTAACATATACCCCCAATCTGTATACTGAATGCATTCCTTTCTCTTCATCTCAGCCATCACACTAAATCCAACTCACGCTCACCCTTTTCCTGGGCATTGGAATTGCCAACTAAATGGTATATCTTCTGTTCCCCAGTCCTCAAATAGCAGTTACGGTAACATTTGTTTAAATGTGAATCCGATAGTGCTTAATACCTTCGTGGCTTCCATTAGAATAAAAACTATATTCCTTCCCAGGGCTGGCTTTGCCAACCTTACTCCTGCCACCTTCTTTCCAGTCACTGGCTTCTAGCCTCCAGCCATACCTGCCCCTGTGCTGCTTCTGAGCATGTTAAGGTCCTTCCCACCTCAGAGCTTTTGTATTGCTCTTTCTTCTAACTGGATGTTCTTCCCCAGCTTTTCCCTGGTGGTCCCTCCTTCCCTTTTCAAGTTTCAACATAACTATTACCTCCTCAGAGAGCCTTCTCTAACCCACCTATAATGTTATATTATATCACAGTTATTTTATATCCCTCAGTTATTTTATATCACATCACCATTTTCTTTTCCTAGATGGTACTTTTTAGAATCTGAAATTATTTGTTATTTATTTTAAAAATACAATAAGTTAGGACATTCTGCTCCCAAGGAGAATATAAGCCCCATGAGGAAAGCAATCACACCTGTCTTCTTCACCACCATACCCCTGACCAGAGCCTAGAACAGTGCCTGGCACACAGTAGAACTCTGTGGCTGTGTTGAACAAATAGTGCTAAGGAATATTGAAGATTGCTAAGAAAGGTGAATCAAGTTGCACAAGATAGCCTACATCCTCTTCCAACCCAGATTGGATTAAGAACATCAAAGACCAAAAAGTGAACCACAAGTAAACACACGTATAAAAGAAAATTAAAATGCTAATAAATGCTAATCCTATATAATAAAAGCCTAAATGCAAGTTGTCCCCTTGACTAGGAGTTCAACCAGGGGGTGGGGCTGGCTGGCCAACCACAGGAAGGGAGGCCCTGGGGGTTGGAAGGCAGCTGTGGGAAGGGAGGTCCCGGCCGGCAGCCACTAGGGACCCTACCCGTGCATGAATTTCGTGCACTGAGCCTCTAGTTTAGTAATAATGAAGAAACATCTTGTCAAAACTGCTTTCTTCAGGAGGAAGTCCTCTTAATATTTTATAACTATAACCTCTGTCAAGTAAATGGTGTTCTCTAGCTAATGATTTTAAGCATGATGTCATAAAATTGAAAGGAAAATATAGCAAAAAAAAACTTTAGTGGCTAATATTGTAATGTAGTCCAACTAGAAACTCAGTTGTGGCATTTATTCATGGAAGTCTCCTGTGACTTTTTTCCTTCCTTACCAAGTCAGATATACTATAAAATTTGTTAATACCAGATATTTCTTCTTGATTTAAGTTCATTAGTCTTATTATTGCTAGTTATTAGAAGTTCTGTTGTATTATATTGAGACAGTCATGTCTATTGATAACTTATGGGTTCTTTTTTATACATATTTGGGCATTGAATAGTTGGAGAGAAATGAAAGATATTACATGGAAAAATAGAATAAAGGATGTTAAGTTGTATAAATAATGTTTACCAAGTGTATCTCAAGCAAATATGCCATCTGAAAGTTTTCCAGTTACTAGTGACTTTATCTTCATCATCTCATTCAATTCAAATTTTGTTGCTGCTTTCTAGGAACTGTCATTCTACAGCTGTCATATTAAATTATGTCTCCTCCTCCCCCATACAGATTATTATGCCCTCTTTGGTACTATCTGCCGTGGATGTGAATTTCCCATAGAAGCCGGAGACATGTTCCTGGAAGCCCTGGGCTATACCTGGCATGACACTTGCTTTGTGTGCTCAGTAAGTGACCTCATTTCCAAAATAAAGGAGCACAGTATGGCCAATTAAGCATAAACACTAACTGGAAATAACAGTGATTGTATCTTTCAATCCTTCAAACCTAAAAATATTTTTACAGTGATTTTGAAAGTTGTTTATTAAAATTTTTTGGCACTTTTAAAATTATTTGGCATAGAATAAGATGCTTACCCATTAGAGAAAATTCTATTTTTAATATATTTTTGTTTATAAGGAGAAGCTATATGTTTTTTAAAACAGTTACAAGTTCTTTACTTAAAAAACCAACCTCTTAATGGAATGTTTTTAGTAAATTTTGGAAACACAGGTACTTCTTAAAATAGAAATAAATAATTATAAAAAATTTATTGAATTAACATTGGAAGTAAAGTATATGGTGATTTTTTTTCCTTAGCAATAGTCCATGAATATTTTTTTTGAGACTATAATAAACATGTAGTAATATGTTTACCTATTGCATTTGATATTTTAATATTTTTTATTTTATTTTTGAGCATAGTTCAGAGATTAACATTAATATAAGATATATTTTTGAAATTTAGCAAGTAAATATCAATAAAGGTACTTTGTTCAGATGTTTGATTTTTTAAAATTAGTTTTAATATATCTAATAGCTTTTATTACCTATTGTGTGAAGGGAGAAAAGTCATGTTAATTGAAGTCAAATGATTATTCCAAATGTTACCATTGAACTCTCTAGTTTACCTCATTTGTCTCTTAGATGTTATAAAATTTATTTAAAGAACAACTTTTAGCCTGGCAGGTGTGGTTCAGTGGTTGAGCATCAACCCATGAACCAGGAAGTCATGCTCGTCCTGGTCAGGGCACATGCCCAGGTTATGGGCTTGATCACCAGTAGGGGACGTACAGGAGGCTGCAAATCAATGATTCTCTCCCACTCCCTCTTTCTGAAATCAGTAAAAATATATTTTAAAAAAATTAATGAAAACTTTTAGCAGATTTGTCTTCATGAGCATTATAATTAACAAAGGCATTAGGAAAGACAAGAAGACATAAGTGGATAGTTAACTGACTTCATAATCATCCAGCAGTGAGACATTGACCAGGGTTTTCACTATAAAAAAACAAAGGAATGTGTTAAAAAGAACTCTCAAGTATTCTATGCCTGTGTGTTTGGGGGCTTGGGAATGTTTGGGAAAGCAGTTGTGTTTTCTGTTTGAATGCTTTGGTTCTCTACAACAGGAGGCAGATTAAAAGCATTGATTAGAATTTGGGAAGAGGAATTATATTTAGTGTGACCTCTTTAGGTGTTAGTTTTTCTTTAGGACCAATTGCTTCACCCCCAATAAAGAGAAATAATGATAAATAAATAAATTAGAACGCATTTCAGAAAAAGTCATTCATCATTATTCTTGAAAGATTACATGAAATATAGTCATTGTGAATGTCAGGATGTCTAACAACCAACTAAAGTGCTTTTACTAACTATTGGGTGAAAAATCACTTTCTTCTTCATGCACACTTGATAAAATAATGATATTCTCTTATATAATGCTTTCCCCCCCAGGTATGCTGTGAAAGTTTGGAAGGTCAGACCTTTTTCTCCAAGAAGGACAAGCCACTTTGCAAGAAACATGCTCATTCTGTGAATTTTTGAAAGTCAACAGTTCAGGAGAAGAGAAAGAAATTTGAAGAGAAAGAGAAGAATTAAAATTACCAATTGATTTTTAGATTTAATATTTATATGGATTTTTGAAAAATAATGGTAACCCTGAAGGGATAAATTCCAGCTTTAAAAACCAAATCTATGAGGAAATATTTGGCTTCGTAACGTAAGGAGACAGTTTGACATTTGTTATTACTTTTTCCTTGTATTTTCTGCCCATAAAGTAACTTTTATAAAAACCAATTTCCTGGTTGACTATTAAATTCATCTTAGAATAAATTAGCAAAGAATTGAATTTTAGAATAAAAACTACAACTTCTATGCTGAAATAATTATGCTTTCCTTTCTTCTTAGGTAGTTAAAAGTAAATCTGTAAAAGGCACTGAAAATGCCTTATACTTTATCAATAAGCAAAACATTGTATTTTTTAAAAACTAGTGTTCATCTTTATAACAGTAAATAGGAGTTTAAACAGAATTTTATCAGTAGTAGTAGATGTCCCTTTTTAAAAACTATGTGCATTTTTTAATTTTACATTTGATCATTCCAGTAGGAAAGGTCAATGAGATTTTGATCAAATGTGTCATGCCAATAAGAGATGCCACCATACAACGTATAAGTCTCAAATTTTTGCCTTTTATTAAAAATATGACCATTTTTATTCATTGTTTTATTACTTATAGTAGTCAAACTCTTTTTTTCTCTTCCTTCAGGCTCTGGTAAAGAGCTAATTGAGTAACTTAGTGGACTATGAGAGTTTTCTCTCTCTTAAAGAGAATGAATAGAATGTGATTGAGAATTATGGTATATTCCCCTACCAAAATTACCCATTTTTTGACAATGAATTAGAGTTGTACTACTGACGGATGAAGGTTTGAGAACTCTCTTTGCAGAACAATTTTTTTCTTGAATTCTCTATTAGAAAAATAAAAGATTGGTTTGAGCATGTGATAAAATCTAGATTGTTTTTTTATTTTGATGGTTCTCTTTCAGTAATAAATGAACCACTTCCAGATGTGATCACAAAGTTTGAAAACTTTTATGCACAGAGATTTGGTGGTAGAGAGGAACATGGGTAATTATTCAGACTGGCCCATTATTTGTTTTCTTCATTTGGGGAAAAAACATAGGTAGATACCATATGAAGACAGAGAAACAACCGTGGAAAAATAAGAAAAGAAATTACAGCGTTTGATAGTTTTTCTCTTTATTTCCAGAATGGATGAAAGCTCACTAAGTTATAATTTAATTTGTTTGGAGCAAGGTGATTTTAAATTTGAGATTGAGCCTCAAGTCCTTCCTCCCCTATCACTTACTAATGACTTCACTTCCATTGTGTGCATGTTTGTTTTAGAGGGGAGTTTTAGGCTACAATATTTGTTTAACCTCCCTAAGAACTTTTTAAGGCATCTGTCCTGAAAGCTGTTAATTTATGGTTTAGCAGATTTAAATTATATGCAGATAATTATTAACTGGGGATAAAAGAATGAGAAGAGTGACACAAAATGGCAAACAGAACGCTTCACCAGTAGCAACCCCAAAACATCTCCTCACCTTGCATCTCGTAGGGAAGCAGGAAGTTTTTGTGTGTGTTTTTTAAGCGCTGGAACTGAATTGTGTATTATTTCTTGTTGCTGCTGAAACAACCTATAGAAGACATACTGGCTAATATGCGTTGTCATATCTTAATGCCAGTCTTTTGCTTTATACACTATAAAGTAGTTGGTGGTTTTGTTGTGTGGTAGAAGTTTCTTTTTGTTATTTAGTTTTGCCTTTATAGATTATATGCCAAGATAGTATTTGATAAGTTAATGGCATTTGGATATCTCCTTCAAAAAATTTTATTTGACCTGGATTGCTTATAAAATTATCTTACATTAATATATCATTTTTATTATACTTTTCTTTCTGCATGTTATTCATAGAGCATAATGTTGCATTTCTCTAAATTTTATTCCTAAGAGTGTATAACAGTACTTCCTAATTTATCATCATCATTGTGCTTTGTCCTTCTCTTCTGTCGGTTCCTAAAACAGTTAACCCTATGAAATAAATATTGATTGTAATCCAGAAGGATCTCTGTTTTCCAGTGGGGAATGCCATATTTAACACCCCAGCGTTAATCTCTTAATAACTCAGGCAGAGCACTTTATTATTCTGGTGAGCTCCCTGAATATTTATTTTTCTGATTATAAATGTTCCATGTCAGTAGCATTTTTAAATTATTACCTCTTTATTGTAGAGCATTTACTTTTAATCTCTCTAGATGTATATTTTGGAAATCTGTACTTAGGACAATACAGATAAAATTCATACTACCTGACTTTAAAACATCCCCTATTTGGACTTCCCAGTTTGAATAACAAGGACAGAACGTTGCCCCTGAAGGAGCAGCCTAGAAAGAATCCCTTGTGCTTAATGCTTATAGTAGCTCACATACTTCCTAGTGATTCAGGTTACATTTAGAGTCTAAAGCTAAAACCTAACTTGATCAGGATTAAGTCAGAAAAAAGAGTTTAAATCTTCAAAATATCAGTCCAGCATTATGTCTAAAAAATACCTACAACAAAAATGTCTTTGTAGTACCATTTTCAAGGGCACTATATTCGGGTCACTTTTATAGAAAATCCTGTCTTCCTGTCCCTGTTCAAGTGTGAACCTGGTAGTGGCACGTTAACCTGCCGGTGATGTTTGCAGTCTAGCTGTCAGGCAGGGCGGGGGACACACGCTGAGTAATTATACGCACATCCAGCGTGGCTTCCATTTGTCACTCTTCATCCCCCAGATATTTTAAGGTTTTGGGTTTGGATTCTCAATGTACCATTTGCCTTATCTATTAATCTCTATTTTCTGTTTCTTTACATTTTTAAGTTTATATACTAGTATATGTCTGTGCTGTTTTGCTTTTGGATGTATTTTCTAATTAAAAATCACATGAGAAATTAATCAGTATATTAATACCGTAATGAGCACATAACAAATAAATGGCTGCAATGATGTAGATAAGCTCTCCTGGTCTTTCTTTTGGGGTGGCAAGTAGTTTCTATTACGTTATTATGAGGAAAAATCATGTTCAAAGGACAGGAAGAGATGTAAAAATTCTCAGGAGAATCCCCTTATGGCATTTGCTTATCAAATTTCCCAGAAACAAACATTTGAAAATATTGTCACATTTATTTTACTTTAACCTTTTTTTTAAAAAAAAAAATGTATTTTTATTGATTTCCAAGAGGAAAGAAGAGGGAGAGAGAAAGAGAAACATCAATGATGAGAATCATTGATCAGCTGCCCCCTACTGGGGATCAAGCCTGAAACCCAGCATGTGCCCTGATCGGGAATCGAGCTGTGACCTCCTGGTTTATAGGTCTATGCTCAACCACTGAGCAGCACTGGCCGGACACTTCAACCTTTTTACGCTCTGCATGTAACACATATACACAAATATTTGTGAACTTATTGATAAATAAGCTCTTTGTCCTTTAAAATGTTTATTACTGAAATTATTTATTGGAGCAACATGTCCTAGCAAGCATTCCGTTGTATCATATATCACATTCAAACAACGTAAGTCCACATTTTCACAGTTTTCATTGACTAGGGTCCTTCACTTCATGCTTAACTCATCCCGCTCTCACTATCTCACTAGCTAACTTTTCTATCACTAGATAGGCTCACCTACTCCTCATTTGTTTATTGGTTTGAGTAAGAATTTTCCCCCAACTGTGTAAAGTTAAGAGGAATGTTTCTGTCGCAGGCTGTATATTGGGAATAAAAGACAAATTCAAGTCTATTTGCTCACAGTATATTAAACTCCAGAAGCCAAACTTATAAGGGCATCAAGTCTGCATCTGACATTTTAATAGCTGCTGTTTGGTTTCTATCAATCACGTCATTGCACATTAAAATGCACCGACAAAATAAGAGATCTGTCATTCCTTCGTTAAGAAACAGTAATCCAGTACAAGATTTATAGGCTTAAGACCCAACAGTGTGTGTTCACAATAAATCCCCATTCAGTGCTCAAACCAGAACAAGCCTGCCTGTCGTTCAATGTTTGCTGGTCAAATGTCCCCAATATAAGATTATCAAAGGCTTTCTTACAGAACTACATATAAAATCCTTTTTGCCTGCAAAAGCTTAATTTAGGTTGGCGGTTTCCCTTTTTGAGTAGTCTCAGACAAGATCTTGGTTATATCAGAAACACATAGGTACTGATGTATTATTAGCGGGCCTGGTGTTAATTAGGGAGAATTACCAGAAATAGTTTGCTTTGTGGGAATTTATTACAGAATCACACTTGACTGATGGCAGAATAGGAGTTGCTGAGAGAGAGCAGCTCCCACTCATAACCGCTAATTAATAGGGTGCCAAAATTCCGCAGAGGAGGTTTCATCCCGAGTGTGGGAGCCTCGCGGGGAAAATGGTTCCTTTGCACTATTTAAAATTTAAAAGAGGAAAGGGGCTAGGACACATGGCTACCCAACAGGACTCTCAGACTGATACCGTTCTGTGGTGTTCTTATGAATGAGAGCATTGAACTCAGGAAGCACCAAGCCCAGAAGTTTGTGAAAGCACCCGTTTCCCCCCAAAAGTCAGTAGTGGGCTGTGTAGTGATCATACCCGGGAGATATGCGTAGTATTTTGAATGTGGCAAGTGGCTGATTCGCTCAACTCTTTGTTTTGTGAAGAGAATTCAAAACACACCGTTTGTCTGCCGTGTTGTATTTCTGAAGTTTGACTCTTTAGTCCATGAGTTACTAGTAGACGCTGTCCGAGTAGGTGGCAAGGTCACAGAAATGCTTAAAGGGAAAGGTGTGGCTTCCACACCCTGAATGCTGCACTGGTGGGGGGGGGGGGGGCAAGGTGTGTTTAGTGATTGGCACCAACGGCAGAGCACTGGGGGAGCCCTAGTAAATGAGTTTGCCAAGAAGGCAGTTTCCCCCCTGTGTGTGTAACTGTGTGTGATCACATACAATAAAGCTGGGAGCTGGTGCTTAGCATAGAAGAATAAGAATAAAACATTTCCTTGTCAGAAAACCACTGATCGCTGACCGCAGGGAGAAAAGTAAAACAACTTAGCATTCACAGAGAGTATAGTTTTTCAATTTCTCTTCAGGCAAATATAGTTCCCAAGGAAAATGACTTCTGTGCCAGGTCCCTGAACCGATTGACATGGTCTCTAATGCATCCAGTGTTTCAAGGGACAAGGTTTCTGTTGAATAACTGGGTTCCCAATGAGTTTTTCATCATCAGGCTCTCAATTGTCACATTTGCTCTCTAGTTCAAATACACTTAGGTTTGTTTTTGCTCCTTTTTTTCTCTTGCTTGTAAAGCACACACAGCTGGTGCTGTTCTAAGCACTTACTCAAAAATGCCATTGTTTAAAGTGTTTCAATAGATGATAATGTCCTCAGAGGTGCCTTGATTTTTTTCCTAGTGTATCACTGATGTGGCAAACTGTTCTCTTGGTAAATAAGACGGTAAATTGAACTCCAGTGACTTACCACACAAGTATGAATTTCTATGTAAATAAAAGCCTTTGCTTCGGTGACGCGATATTGATGTCACGTGACCCTGGAAGCCTGCTCTGTCCCCGTGTGCTTGCGAATCCTGAAGCTCTCAGGCCTCCTTCGTTGAATGAAATGGAGAGCAGAAGAAAGCATGGAGCTTTCCAAGTATAAACTTGGAAATATAAGTCAAAGTAATTCCGGCTTTACAAACGGAAACTCGCCATCCATTTTGCTCTGTATAAATGATTTTGCTGCTGCTGAATAATTTTTCTTTCCTGGCACCATTATCAGTGCTTCAAATGAAGCATGAACTTAATAAGCACTAAAGTGAACCCAGTGCTTCTGCCCCAAGAAAAGATATAAGTCATATTGTGACTCCATTATGATTTGCTTACTCATGAATATCCAGGAGGTTCTAGATGATCTTTAACAATATCCACATGGTATAGATGTGAGAGTAAATCAGAGCTTAGCGGGAAAATGTGTTTGATTCCTCCTGGGGGTCAGACAGGGTCCAGTCAGGAGGCAGAAATCGCACAGTAACTTAGGAGAAGTTTAATGTGAAGAATTACTAAGCTGTGATAAGAAAATAACTGTGAAAACAGAGAGAGGACTCCAAAGGTAACGTAGGGCTGAGAGAGAGGACTCAGGGAAGGACAATCTTAGGAGGAGTTCCTTGTTGGAGAGAGCGGCTGTGGTTTCCTGAACTGAAGGGCAGAGTGCTCTGTTTGCCGAGCCTGGGCCTGGGAACAAGGCAGCAGCCCTCCAGAATGCAGGTGAGCCAAGGTGGGTGGGTGTGCAAAGGGAGTCGGGGTGCTGCTGTGGGTCTGAGGCCTGGAACACAGGGTGTCCGCATCCAGAGGGCTGTAGCAAGGTGGCCACCGGCCCCGGCCAGGGATGTGAAGTCACCGATGTGTGCACTCTGCGTGCACTCTGGGGCAGAGCTCCACCAGATGTCCCCACACACACACCATGGATGGACCACGCAGCCCGAGCAAGAAAAAGCCAAGTGCAGCACCTGGGACCAGGAGAAGTCCTTTCCTTCTGAAATATTGCCTCAACTCCCTTGGCTGATGGCTGACAAGCTTCACACACTTTCAAGGAGAAATGCTTGGGGTCCAGTTTATTGTCACAGAGCAGGTAGTGAGGGTAAACTTGGAACTGAAAATCAATAAATTGACAATTGGCATATCTGGGTGCAAAATAAGATTTTCAACTATATTGAAAGCTTCATAATCCAGGACACCTATGCATATTTTTAGGGAAATGGAAAGTCAACACTCAATTCTTTTTTTATAAAAAATCTCTGATATTATGTCTTCAGTATGAAAAGTAAACATAATGTTTCATGGACTGTATTTTTCAAGGTCTATCCTCTAAACATCCAGTATAATCGAACAGTTCTAAATATTTCAGAGATTTAATTAGATCTGTGCTAATAAATAAGCAATGGGTTTTAATGGGTTAATTTTATTATATACTCTAATGCTTTTCCTATAGTTAAAACTAATAAAACCTTCTTAGTTGAAGGTTTGGGTTTGTTAATTGAGATTTCAGAAGTTTTTATGTATCAACCTAAACCCTTATCATATAAAAATGATTATTTTCATATTCAGTAATAGCAAACATATTTACAATTTCCCTTTCTCAATAAACTAAACCATGAAGGATGAAGCCCCATGGGTCTATAAGAATGCCATATTTTTTCTATACTCTTTGTAATTCATGTGGTATATTATCTGTTACACTAGTATACTGCAAGGTTATAAATTTGGAAAAACTCCAAGAGGCAAGTATTTTTAACACACATATTAGACATAAGAAAATTAAAACTCAAATAGTACTCTGAAAACATAGTTATAAACTGGCAAATCCAAGACTTAAACTTTCTAATAGATTAGAAAGAAAATTTACTATAGCATCCACATTCTCTTAGAGTCCCTCTTATTAATAAGGGACAATCCCAAGTTTTCAGTTAGTAAAGAACAGGTTTAGGAATTACTTAATTTTGATAGAGTATATAAAACTTAAAAGCTGTGTCTCTGACTGATGCAGTTGCCTGCAACACAGATGTCAATATTTGGGAAATTTGCAATCGGACCATCTGTTCTGCAAGGGTATGTGTGATGTGGTCGGCCTCTCTGCAATGCACCATTTGCTGTTCTTTGTGCTTTTGCTACATTTCAAAGAAGTACAGGAATCAGAGTAAGTTGGTTTGAAGTGTAGGTAGCACCAAATGTGATACCACGCAAATGTTGGGAAGGCTGTAGGAAATGCAATAAAAATTACTTCCACATCCAGAGCTCAATAATAGCTCTTTATAAGAAGTTGGAAAACAGGCCAGAATGGGTGCCACCTAGCTCAGTGTCACTTTGCAGTGTGATAAAGTTAGTTCCAGGCTGTGACTCTGAAGAATGGAAGATGGAAAAGGTGTGTGACCTCAGTGAGAAACTGCATATACGTCCAATTACACTGACAAGGTTGCCTAAGGTT